AGGCTGCGCCCACCCCAGCTCTGGCAATGCAAAAAAAGTCACGATACATCACGACACATCACGTGATGCGGTGAGTTTGACACTCGTGTATAGCAAAGTTGAAAATGTCTTCTTCAGATAAAAGCTCTGAGAGAAAAGAAATTGGTTTGTGAAAGTAAAAGAAGGCAATGTTGTGAGCTTCCCAAATATGTTCATTACTGCGAGCAACAGTTATGAGCTCATACCACTTGTCAAGCACCTTGAAGAAAATTCAGTATGTTTTTCAAAATATTCACAAACTCTGACTAGTTAAGGAATTCCCTTATTGAAGCAATATCAACTTTCAACATCTGACTTGTGTAAATTGAGTTTTTCAGTGCTATCAAATATAAAAACTGCAACAGATGCTAGATTACAAGCAAATGACAGAGAAATGAGAATATGTTTGTGTGGTATTACATCTGATACCAAAAAGCTGTATAAATCTCATCAAGCCCAAGTATCCCACTAGGTGGCAAAAGAGAAATTAAATCCTGGTAAGTTTCTGTTTGGTTGTTTCATAGTAATTTAAAATTGGAAATACACTATTAATGCAAGCATATAATTACAATAATTAAGCAATTTTCTTTCTTTTTTTACAAGAAATTTTATTGATTTTCTATTATTACATTTGATTAGTGCTTAATAAACATTGTGTTGTCTGGGTTAATTTGTTTGCTTAATAATACAAGTTACATTCTTAGTCTCTACCCCTTTTTTTCCAACCATTGATAAAATAAATTCCATGTTTGAAAATATTCTGTATCTTCTTTCTCTTTGATCCTCAGCCTAAGTCTGTCCATTTCAGCACAGTTCAATATCTTCTTATCTCTTCATCTAATGGTATTTCTTCATTCTTCCAGTGCTAATAATTAAGCAATTTTCAAGGCTGGTGTTTTATTTGTAGCAACTTTTTTTACAGTAACGGGTCTTCAGAAAATAAACACTTTCTTTAGGCTTTATTTAGTAATTCAATTGTGCCTTCAGCGTATATTAAGACAACTATTATAGTAGAAACTAGAACATGATGTCAACAGAATGCAATGTATGTTTTTTAAGAGTGCCATCAGTGAAAAAATGGTTAAGAACTTTGGTTTTACTGCTGTAGTAGTGTGTCAAAAGGAGAAGTTATAGCTCTGTAATCTGGTCTTTAAAATTGTTAATGCTGGGTTTCAAACAAAAGCTATTGTGTAATGCTTTTTATTGATTGTGCACGTTTTAAAAACTGTTACACGGTATCTTGATATTGTTATAGAAAGTAGAGCAAGCAAGAAAATAATAAAAAAAAATTATTTGGACCAGAATTGTTCATTGTGTGTTTGATTGAATCAGCCTCCTGAATCACTCCACTCCAGTCAGTTTTTCAACTGGCTACCTAGGTATACATTCAACAACAGCTGCCAGTAGTAGTTGACAATATTTAACTGCATGCAGTAAAAGGGTTCATCTCTTAATTTTTGCATATTGACCTGAGATTGGAATCACATGTTATTTAAACCTAGTTATTTTTCTTGTAAAGTGCTATCCCACTTTATCCCACTGGGTTTTGAATCACCAATCTGAGAGTGAGCCATTAATGCAAGTTCTTATGTTTGTATGTGCCTCATCTGTTGTTCCTGTCTTAGGGAGGGAGTCTTTTCCACTCAGATGCATCTCATTTTAATAGTTAAATAAAACTTTCTGTTTCTCATTAGCTCTTTCCAGTGAGTGTTCTGGCTTCTGATGGGAGGACTTTTCTGCTTCCTTATCCTTCTTGCGCTGACATTGACACAACATTTGCACTTCCTCCTCCTCCATCTCTTTTCATTATTTCTTCCTTCTGAACTTTCTGAACCACTGTTGGGATAACTCATCATATAGCTGAATAACAGAATAACAGAGTTGGAAGGGACCTTGGAGGTCTCCTAGTCCAACCCCCTGCTCAAGCAGGAGACCTTATACCAGGGGTGTCAAACTGCAGGCCCATGGGCCGGACACGTCATGTGGAAGCCGCGCCCACCCCATTGCCGGCAATAGCAAAACCGGCCCGATACGTTGCATGACATCACGTGACGTCACGAGTTTGACATGCCTGCCTTATACCATTTCAGACAAATGGCTGTCCAACCTCTTCTTAAAAACTTCCAGTGATGGAGCACCCACAACTTCTGGAGGCAAGTCATTCCACTGATTTACTGTTCTCCTTAGTTCTAGGTTGATTGTCTCCTTGAGTAGTTTCCATTCATTGCTTCTTGTCCTGCCTTCAGGTGCTTTGGAGAATAGATTGCCCCCCCTCTGTGGCAGCCCCTTAGATATTGGAACGCTGCTATCATGTCACCCCAGTCCTTCTTTTCATTAAACTAGACATACCCAATTCCTGCAACTGTTCTTCATATGTTTTAGCCTCCAATCCCCTAATCACCTTTGTTGCTTTTTTTTCTGCACTCTTTCTAGAGTCTCAACATCTTTTTTATATTGTGGTGGTCAAAATGTGATGCAATATTCCAGGTGTGGTCTTACCAAGGCATTATAAAGTGGTATTAACATGTCACATGATGTTGATTCTCTCCCTCTGTTAATGCAGCCTAGGACTGTATTGGCTTCTTTTGCAGCTAGAATAGCTGTGCTTGATTATAGCTTTGGTCCTATATTTTGAGAATACATGAATATCATATAATGAAACTAGCTACAGTTAAGGAGCGGTAGCCCATTCACAAAATGGCTGTCAGTTTGTGTAACCAGTCACCAAATGCTAGTTGGCCAGAAACACTAGGTGAGGTTATTCCTGGCCATACATGTAGTCCTCATTTAACAACCACTCATTCAGTGACCATTCAAACTTATGATGGTATTGAACAAGTGGTAGTTATGACTGGTCTTCGTACTCATGACCAGCACAATATCCCCATGGTCACTTGATTGCAATTTGGGCACTTGGTGCCTGGATCATGATTACAATGTCATAGCAGCCTGCAGTCACATGATTGCAATTTGCAACATTTGCTGCTGGCTTCCCACAAGCAAAGTCAACAGAGAAGCTGGCAGGAAGTAGGAAGTTGCAGTCATGTGAGGTCCTCAATGATCACATGTGATTCACTTAACAATGGCAACCAGTCACGTGGTTTTTCAACTTACGACCATGGCACTTAATGACAGAGTTTCAGGTCCACATTAGTGGTGTTAAGTGTGGACTACCCGTAATTTGCTCTGGGCAAGTGAGAAAGGTTTAATGTAGACACACTGTAAGATTATGTATATCATCCCACCTCCAGATTTATTTTTAAGGGAAATTGAAACTTTGCAACATGTCCATTGTTATATTCAGCATCTCCTTTTATGCCTATTGAACATCTGGAAGGAAAGAACACTAGTAGATTCAGAAGAAATTAGAGAATGATGAGAGTGTCCCCTTCACATACTTTAACTTAATTGTGAACTGTAGAGAAAGTGGATACTGCATAGGGGAATAACTGTAGAAAGAGTTAGAAATACAATAGACCAACTGAAAGCGATTAGACTTTATTACTAGGCACCATGACATCTTTCACTTTCAATTATTTCAGTGAATTAGCGATAACTGAGACTTGGTCTGACCCAGGCTGTATTTCAAGTGTTACAGTCCATTGAACTGTGTATGAAGAAAAGGTGGTGAGGAAGGTACAGAGGCCTGCCATTTTGGCCATAGTTCTTTCCTTTATTGCTTGTTTCAAAGAGATGCTGTTCAGTTTTTGAATATATGATAAATTAATGATCTTTTCTACAGGCTAGGCTGCAAAAAAGGCTTGAGCATGCTGGTTTATTAAGTCACTGCAAGTTAATAGTCCTTAATGAACTACTTCAGCAACAGCCATCCTTTGAAGGATTCAGAGTCGAGTCAATGTTATATGATTCTTCTTCCTTAGCTCTTAATTCTCCATCTTCATTTACTGTGGCTTTTCATAGTTCCTGCTGCTCTGTCCTTCAGTTCCGTATGTTCCTCCCTCTCTGTTTAAAGTTTTGGTTTCATTTTCATCTTATTTGATGATGCTATTTTGCATCCCACTGACCTTCACCCACGTGCAGAGAGAGAAGGGAAAGAAGACATGAATGGTGTACAAAACTGCCCCAATAAGGTTGGCCTTCCTTCCCCCATCATGGAGCCCTCCATCCTCGAGGAGAGCCCCACCCTCCCTGACTTGCACCCATGTGATGTCAGTAAGTAGTTACCTGTTGTCATATGATTTGTGAGAGCAAGAAGGGAATTAGATGCCCAAAGCTCGCTGGAACAATTCCATTCCTATTCTCTGTTATTTTCTGTTTTTCTGGTTGGAAAAAATTACCAGTACTGAATTAACTGGAGTTTGTTGAGGAATGCTCAGCTTTGACATTAGACTGCCTAGTTTTTATAAGAGGCAGGGATTCTGTACCTTTTAATATTGGGTTAGATGAACAGATAGGTGGGTGCAACTGGAGTGGCAGAGGCAGATTGCCTTACTTGAAGAAGGCAGGTTGTGCTTGTGGAAGCAGCCTTTGCCTAATTTTTAGGGCTTTCCCACCTCAGTTTCTCTTGTGCTACAGCCAATCCTATTCACCACCCCCACCACCCCTCCAATTAAACTGCAAAGTGTTTTAAGGAGGCTTTGTGCATCTAAATCTTGGGTCCAACCTATTATACCAAATTCAGATCAGCATAGTATTTCCTACAAGATATTCCCTTGGGTATGGAAAGCTGCTTTTGTAAGAAGTTATTTTTGCACAAAGGTTTGTATCTTAATCTGGGTAATTTGCAGTATGAAGTTTATATAGTAGTATGTCAGAACTTCCTGTTCAAGTAAACATAGATGACCAAAGTTTTTTGATGGGCAAGAAGGACCCCAGGGTTTCCTCTTTAGGATCACACATTAAAATATGAGAATATTTCCACTGAGTGAACCATTTTGGCTCTACCAACATATGACTGCAATGGGTAAGGTTTTAATTCCCTGTCTCATCTGTCCTCACCATTCCACCTTGTCTCATTTCAGATTGAGAGCCACAAGCTGACCTTTTGTGAGAATGGCAAAGCCAAGACTGATCATGGAGCTGAAATTGTCTACAAATCACCCATTGTTTCTGGAGATGCTTCTCCGCGTTGCCTTAGCAATGTCTCTTCGAGTGGAAGCATCAACATCGTGGACTCCCCTCAGCTGGCCACATTGGCTGATGAAGTGTCTGTTTCCCTGGCCAAGCAAGGGTTGTGATTGTGTTGAAGTGCATGGAGATAAGAAGACAAAAATTAACTCTGGCCTTTCTTTCTGTTCTTTTTTCCCCGTCTACATTCCCACATCATTCCTATTTATTTTAAATTGTCAACTCTTTTAAAAAATCTTCTCCCTCTCCTTCCTCCAGTTGTACATTCATCTCTGGTCTCAGGATTTCATAATTGTTAACAACTTGGAAGCAAAGATTTCCATCCTATATTGAATAAGCTATTTAAAGTCTCCCACATCATTTCACCCCCTAACCCCAAACAAAAAGAAATGTAATTGATTACCAGATAAACTTGTGATGTTTTAAATCTGTCTTGGGGATGTAAGATGGTATCTTGTGCTGTGCGTGCTTATTACTTGGCCAAGTTTTTTCCCCATTGAAATTTAAGACACAGAAACCTCTTGACAACCTTAAAGAATCATTGCTACTGATTTAGTATAGAGGTTAATACAGGTCTACATATATTTCCACTGTATAAGCAGACCTTTTATTTCAAATGTTTCCCCCTGCTGTAGTTGGAAAGCTAGGCTTTAGTATTTCACCTTTGAAGGAGGAATTTTCGTAAGGGCTATGTTACATGCACACCCATTCTTTTTCGTACTGAGAATGTTTGCGAACCAGGTGTAAGTCCAACATGACTGCATGCATTGGATGGGTGGTAGGGTGATAGCTTATCTATTTTCCGTTTGTTCCTAAAATTAACCATTTGACTTTAGGTTACATACTCATGCCTAAAATAATTGGACTTAAATTGCCTCCTTAAATCCTAGGTTCTTTTAATTTTAATGGATGTTAGCATTCCAGAATAACAGAATAGGATAGGATAGGATAGGATAGGATAGGATAGGATAGGATAGGATAGGATAGGATAATATAATATAATATAATATAATAGAATATAATAGAATAGAATAGAATAGAATAGAATAGAACAGAGCTGGAAGGGACCTTGGAGGTCTTCTAGTCCAGCCCCCTGCTCAAGCAGGAGAACCTATACCAGCTTGGACAAGTGACTGTCTAGTCTCTTCTTAAAAATCTCCAGTGATGGAACGCCCACTATTTCTGGAAGCAAGCTGTTCCACTGGTTAATTGTCCTCACTGTTAGGAAGTTTCTCCTTAATTCCAGGTTGCTTCTATTTTGATCAGTTTCCAACCATTGTTTCTTGTCCTTCCCTCTGGTGCTTTGGAGAATAACATGACCCCCTCTTCTTTGTGGCAGCCCCTCAAATACTGGAATACTGCTATCATGTCTCCCCTATTTCTTCTTTTCTTTACAATAGCCAAACCCAAGTCCCGCAGCCGTTCTTCGTATGTTTTAGTTGCCAGGCCTTTGATCATCTTAGTTGCTCTTCTCTGATTTTTTTCCAAACTCTCAACATCTTTTTTGTGATATGGTGACCAAAATTGGCTGCAGTATTCCAGGTGTGGTCTTACTAGGGTTTTATAAAGCAGTACTAATACTTTGTGTGATGTTGTCTTCTGGAGTGTTGGCTATTCCTGCCAGTTTAGTATCATCTGCAAATTTGATGAGTTCCCCTTCTATTCCCTCATCTAAGTCATTGATGAAGATATTGAAGAGTACTGGGCCTAAGACGGAGCCTTGTGATACCCCACTGCTTACTTCCCTCCATGTGGATGTGGTGCCACTGAGGACTACTCGTTGAGTACGGTTTGCCAGCCAGCTACAGATCCATCTGGTGGTGATGTTGTCTATTCCACCTTTTTCTAGCTTACCAAGGAGTAGGTTGTGGTCTACTTTATCAAATGCCTTACTGAAATCTAAGTATACTATGTTCACAGCGTTTCGCTGGTCTACTAATTTAGTCACTTTATCAAAAAATGAAATAAGATTGGTTTGGCAGGATTTGTTTTTAACAAACCCCATGCTGGCTAATAGTTATAAATTTGTTTGCTTCTAGTTGTTCGCAGATCTGTTTTTTGATTATCTTTTCTAGGAACCTCCCAGGTATTGATGTTAAACTGATTGGTCTGTAGCTTCTTGGGTGTTTTTCCCCCTTTCTTGAAGATGGGAACCACATCAGCCCTTTTCCAATCCTTCCTTTTCCTCTTACTTTTTCAAAACAGTAACTATTGCCTCTTTTTCTACCTCACCTTCAAGCTCCATGATTTTAGGTAGCCTGTCACAACATAAAACTGGCTGGTAGCAAACATATTACCGGTAATTTGTCCAGAGTTGCTGGGAAAGTAGCAGATTTGCCCTTGTGTTCAACCCACTAGGTCTACTTGTTCTAATGTTTTTGTAAGTGTAGAAATTTGTGAGATAGATGTGTGGCTCTAGGCATATTTAAAAATTAAGGAATTTGTGTATTTATGGTGCACACAGGTGTTTTTTTAGGAAGAATTGCATGAAAGGACATCAGTTCAGCAGATGTGGGAACTTGTATATCTTGACCAGTATCTCATGGATTTTTAGAGTACGTTTATGTAATATGTGTGTATTTCAATGAAGCATCACAGTTCAAAAATCATAGCCAGAAACAAGTACACTCCTTTCAATAGTTACTATTCATTTAGTTACAAATCATGAATTATGCAAGACTCTTTAGCACCCCAGATATTGCAGAGCTACAATTTGCAGTAGACCCACCACCATGCCAACTGTTAGGGATGCTGGGAGTTGTAATTCAGCAATAACAGAACAGTTGTAGTAAGAACTAGCTGTTTTTTATTAAGCTCACCCACTGCAATGCAACCGGCACTACTTCTAAAAGACATTTAATTTGATCCACTGTGAAGAATGGTAAGATCATAGGGCACATTCCATGTAAACACTGGTTTAACAAGCTATCATGCCTTTTCCCACGTTGCTTACTGTTGGGAGAAATCCTTCTGTGATAAGGGGGGATGGTACTTGATGTTTCATCCAATATTGCTGGATTACAACTCCCATCATCCTGCCATTACTTGTTATGGTGGTTATGAGTAAATTTGGAGTCTGACAATATATAGAAGCTGATTTGCTCCAGTAAGAGTTCTGTAAATGAAAGGGCTCTTCTCCTTCCCCCCCCCCCCCTTTTAATTTCAAAACAAGACATACTCCTCCAAGAATCTACATTACATAATATACCTGTGGAGGGCAGCAAATTGGATTGTGAACAACTTGTTTGTCCTTTTCTATCAGATGTAGTTGTAAGTGCTTGAAAGCATCTGAAAATTGCCAGGAGAGGTTTTTGTAATGATTTGATCACAACTTTAAAATACCATAAAAATAGTGAGTTTTGTAGGGTGGGTAGAACAAGGAAGACTGTTGGGTCAATTATACTGGGGTGCTTCAAGAGCACCTAAGAACATCTAGTACTAGTTAATTTTTCAGATACTTCATTCTTTCTGCAATAACTGAAACTTGTAGTGTTTGCCTCATGGGCTTCTTTTTCATTGCTATTACATTCTCCCTTTTTTGGCTGTTTATACTGTATACCCACAGAGCAATAGTAGGAAATTTTGCTGGGTAATCATCCCTTTCCAGCCTAGTTCATGGCACCCATTTGGACTGGAATGAAAAAAAACCCCAGCTTTGTACCCTTTCTAGGATAGTTGGGCACCTCCTCCTGCATAATTCATGAGTGTAATGGTTGAGCCAACACTCAGATAGGTTTGAGGTCTCAGCATGTTCTAGTTTGATGCTTCATGTGACCAAAGGTAATCATGCTAAACTCAAAAGGTGGTCTACATGTGACCGGTCAGCAGCAAAAATTGACAATTGTCAAAGCTGAAAGGTGCGGGTCTTTCAAGAAAACTGGTTTGCTCTGGAAGCAATTTTTTTAACCTGTTGATCTGATTTCAAGTCTTTTCATTTTTAACTTATGAAGACCAGGGCACCTTCCTCGGCAAGAGTGGGTATCCATGGCAAAAAGAAACATTTTGTTTCAATTAAAAGGCAGGGCTAGTGCTGTATCATTTGCTTTATGATGTTTAACACCTGTCACATTCTGGGGGAAGGCTAGAGGAACAGCAGGTTGAACAAATAACAGTTGACTTTGTCAGCATTACTCTTTTCATTTGCTGTAAACCATGTTCATCCATGGCACCTGCATCCCTTTTAGTACAGAGATTGATTAAAGGTCATTTGTTCATTCAGTTCAAGATGAGGGCTGGAGTTGCAGTTTCCTGTTTTTGTATATGCAAATCAGTCATCTGAATCAGGTGAAGAAAGTTTTGCTAAGCAGAACTTGTGGGATCTGGTGGGGAGAGTAGCTAGACAGAAAGTAATGGATAAGAACCAAGTAGGTATTTTACTCCAAGATAGAGCTCAAGTGGAAGAGAAGATTTTGCAGAGGAGTCATCTCTACATCAACACTGTTGTTACTGCTGTAGTTAAGTTAGGGTGGTAGGTTTATTCTTTTTAAAATGAAAATGATGAAATAGGAGAATCCTTTCACTGAGAAGCTATACACTATGCCTGTGTGATTTTTATTTTTTTATGCTTGCATTTGAGGACTTTGGGCTGGAAAATCTTGATAACTCTCTTCAGCATTGAACAGTGAAGAGCAGTCATGCTGTACTTCTAGAAAAAGCATTGGTCCCCAAGTCCTTTTTCAGAAAATACTGTAGGCTTGGCCCCCATTCATTTTTTTTCAGTGCTTAAACCTTTCTCTTTCTCAAGCATTGCACACACATTTAAGTGTTCTGAATTCTTTTCCCTGACCTCTTAGCCATTTCCTTTGATCATAGGTCCTGTTTCCTAGCTGGATTTTTATTGTCTTTGTGTCCTCCTAGTATTCATTTTCCCCCAGATGGCAAGAACACATGGTGGTTCCAGACCAAAGCCATCTTAAACTGACTGGTTTATGTTTTGTTTTGGTATATAAATATACATATCTAGGCTTTAAAAGTGTTGGTTTTGAAGTTAAAATGATAATGGGGCTTTATTACATAAATTTGCAAGTAGGGACACTGGAGTTTGAAAGACACCATAATTCCTTTTTAAAAGTTTTTCTGGGTTGGGGAAACAGGGAGGGAGTGGAAAGGGCATGAGATCTCCGTATGGTCATCTTCGCTTAGCTACCTGTTTGTGACTGTCCATGATGTATATGTGTGTTTTAACAACTGGTTTATACCTAACGTTGCTGTAAAAGTGGATATGGAAATAAAAAGTCATTACTACAATATTAAATGTATTGTCTTTGTTGAGGAAAACCTCTACCAAACTGCCATTAATAAAAGCTTGCAGACTCAATATAATCACCAGAAATTAAGCCTGTCTCAAAGGCAACTTTCCTTTTACTTTTGTTGAAAGGATGGGATGGTGCTGAAGCCATGCTGATTAAGGCGAGTTACAGGACTGTGACTGTCTTTCCACCTTCCATCTCTTGCAGCATTAATTTGCCCATTCCATAGATGGCACTCAACTTTCATTAAGTTGCTTTACCTACCATAGAAAGTAAACACTTTCAGAGATCCTGGAGCACAGGGGAACTACCAGAGGACTGGAAAAGAGCTGATGTAGTTCCCATCCTCAAAAAAGGAAAAAAAATGGACCCAGGAAATTACAGACCTATCAGCCTGACCTCAATACCTGGGAAGATTCTGGAAAAGATAATCAAACAACGAATCAACGAACACCTAGAGGCAAACAAAGTCATTACTAAAAGCC